CAAATTGCTGGGTTAAAAACAAAACAAAACACACCTTTAAAAGTTTAAAAGAGCGGGAGAGAACAAAGATGAGCTAGGCTGACTAAATCTGAAAGGTAAACGCAAAGCGGGGAGGTGTCTGATTTATGGCTGCGGTGTTCTTTCCAAACGTTCCCGGGGATTTCTACAGATCGGTGGGATTTCGTCTCCTGCTAACTCGTTTGCGCTCTCTCTCTCTCTCCCTCTCCCTCTTCACCCCCGCCTTCTCTCCTGCTTGCTACGCCGGGACGTTTGGCAGAGTCCACCGAGGGTAAGCATCCTTTCGATTCGTTTTGATCTGGAATCCATTCCCCACGAGTCCTTTTAGAACTCGTGGGAAGCTTCGTTGGAAAGAGCCAAACTTTGGATGGTTCTTTGTATAATGGAGCCGGGCGGGGGATCTTGCACTCTTTAAAGAGACCTTGCCCTGCACTTCGGCTTTTTTTTGGGCGGGGGGGGGGGGGGGGTGCTGCATGAGGGCCTCCTGGAACTACAGCCTCTCCCCCCTCAGCATTGTAAACTTGTGGGGTTGGGATAGAAATAGCCGCCTTATTGAACTGGCCTCTTTCAGGGCATCTCCGGGGCTGGTAGGCCGAATTGGGCGGATCTCCAAGCCATCTTGATTATTTTCCCCAAGAAGCAGAAGGGGCTCAAGCCTTCCAAGATAGTGGAACACCCCTCCCCCCCCCCCAAAAAAAAACACCCTCCTAGCTCTCCTTCTGGGACCTCAGCCTTCTAGCAAACTAAAGGAGAGACCCGGCTTACCTTGAAAAGAAGGCGTGTCCTTCAACCCTCCAAAGCCCATCCTGGAAGTTGCTTTGGGTGGAGGCTGGAAGAAGCCCCAGGCTGGGTTCGTGAATTGGACCGTAGTGCGGCGGGTGGGCTGTGTGTGTGTGTGTGTGTGTTTCTCCCAAGAGCTTCCTTTGCACCTTCTGTTTTCTTGGCTTTCCCTTTCAGGATGAAAGACGTGAACAAAAAGAACCACCTTTTCGCCCAATTCCGGAAGAACGACCGCGACAAACAGAAGCTGATCGAGACGGTGGTGCGGCAGCTCCGGGGCTTGGCCAACTGCATCGCCCAGCACCCGTGAAAAGCGGCCCCGCCCCGCCCCACCTCACCTCACACCCCCCACCTCCACCCCGCCGCCCAGCCGGGCTCCCGCGAAGCTGGTTCCGGTGAAAGGGCCGCTGATTTGACGGAGAACGAGAAGGAGGCCCTGGAAGGGACCGGCCGAAGGGAAAGGACGGCCTTCCCCTGCATTGCAGTCTTCGGAAAGGAGGCCAGGCCTTGCCAAGGGGGAAGCGGGCCGCTGCCTTGTTTCTGTTTTTTTTTTTTTTGGCGAAACGTCCCCGCTGTGCTTCCTTGTAAACCCGACCTTCGGGGAAGACCTCAAGATCCTCCCTCTTCTCTCCCCCCTCACCCCTCCCAGTCCCCCCTCCCCCCAAGGCCATTTAGTGTTTTCTGCTCCAAGGTCCCCCCCTTTTTTAATCCCACCACCAGCGATTTTTCTCGACTCCGGACATTTCCAACTTCGCTCCCCTCTTCCCTACTTCCGCATTATGTTTGTATGTTGTAAGCCTTAAGTAATCCTGAGATCAGAATTTCTCCCCCCCCCCACTTTTTTTTCAGATTGAGGGGTGGGGTGGGGAGGCAAAGTGCGAGGAGCTATTTTGTAGTAGCCTTTAAACTACCTAACTCGAACTCAGTCCCGATGGTGTGGTAGCGAACGACTTTCTGACTTTGGGGAGCAGCCTCCGGCGCCCTTCGATTTTTATCTCCGGGGATCGGCCTTGCGTTGGACGAGGGCCACGGGAGCGGGCAGGAAAGGGGTGTTTTCCTGGGGTCCAGGTGCTCAGCTTCTTTGCTGGGAAGACAAGCGAATGTATCATAAAGGGAATACCCCATAACGATGGGGCTTCATATATAAAGAAGGTCCACTTTCTGCCCATCCCTCGCCGCTGATTAAATTATTTGATGGTCCTGCAAAACTCCGTTTGTAAACCCAGATTCTTCCTTTAGCTGAGCCGCTGAGTGCGCCGGCCACGCGCTACGGGCAAAAAGTCCCCGGGCAGGTTTTCTCCAGCGGGTTATTTCCGCCCTCTACATTTCCTTCGGTGCTGCGCGTCTGGGGGCTCTTTCCAGACCCCTCTAAAACGGGGGTCCCCAAACTTAGCAACTTTAAGACTTGTGGACTTCAACTCCCAGAATTCTCCAGCCAGCATAGCTTGAAGTCCACAAGTCTTAAAGTTGCTAAGTCTGGGGACCTCTGCTCTAAAACTCGCCTTTGAGAGAGAGACACACATACAGAGACAGACAGAAGAAAAGCCGCATCTTTCCTCTGCAGAGAAGCTGCAAGCCGCCGCCTCCCCCACAGACTTTGGGTTTCTTTCGCGGGATTTAGGGACAGGGTGGAGCAGCTGCCCGGCGGGTCGGCATGCTCCAAACCGGGGAAATGCGGCTTCGGACGCTCAAGTGATGGCCGATGGAGCAGAGGTCCAGCCGCGCTTATGGCATCCTTTGGGGAAGGGGAGAGAATCTCGGGTCTTTTGCGGGGGAGCCAAAGGGTTCTCCTCTCCTCCTTCCTGGAAGCGGCCACGCTCTTTCGTGGGCAACAATGAGAGGTTTAGGAGTCCGGTGCGAATTGTGATTTTGGGGGTGGGGGGGTTGTTCAGATCAGGTCAGCAACTTTCCCATTCAAAGGTGATTATACACCGGGCTCAAAAATGGATGGGGGTTGCCTGCTTGTTCTCCCCGGTTAACGTGGGACTTGGGACCAGTTGCGAACTTGGCTTCCCGTGACGCTTCGGAGCGGCGCCAGTTCTTGGCCCAAAGCTGCTCTGACCCGACTTGCTTGGCAGGCGGACTGAGGACTTGATGCCGGAGACGTGCCAGGCCAGGCCGGTGGCATCCAGGGTGAAGAGCGACAGAAGCCAGAAGTCTATGGAGATTCTCGACCATCCAGGTCCCGGTTGCCCCAAAGATGCTTTTTTTTTTCCCCCTTCAAGAGGCAACTAGGCTTTCTTTGTTTTTCCTTGAAGACGTTTCGCTTCTCATCCCAGAAGCTTCTTCACCTCCGAGAGAAACGTCTTCAAAGAAAACCCAGAAAGTCCAGTTGCCTCTTGAAAAAGCACCTTTCAAGAAGCGAGCTTTTACGATCAAGACCCCCGGCCTCCCGCTCTGGCACATGCAGCGGCCCCTTGTGCTGGAGCTCCCAAGAAGCGGATCCCAGCCCGAAAGTGGAAGCTGTGAGAAGCAGAGACCTTCCCGCGGGGACCATGTGCGAGTTGCAGTCACACACACACACACACACACAAACACACAAAGCCCCCCCGCCCCCCCCCCCCCGGTTGGCCGGTACGAAGCGAATTCCAGCCGACCGAGACTTCAGATCCCCTCCGCCTTTCTTGCGGGGTAACCGGGAGGAGCGAGCCGGTTGTCCGCCGGGCAGCCTTGGAGACCCTTGTCGGGTGATTACACAACTGCGTGAGAAGTCAGTAACTACGAAGGGGTCCCGAATTCGTGATCTTGATCAGAGCAACTTGGTTCGCGTGGCGCAGGTAACTGCTAGCCTAGGAGGGATTGAAGGAAGTCGTTTCAATTTGCATCGTCAAAATAGATGGGTTCACACAACGCGCTGGGTCAAAAGCTAAACAAACCTCTTGGCCACCCGTCCAATCGCGTGGCTCAACGAAAAGATACGGTCCTCAAGCAAACACACCGTCCGCTTTTAGGGGGGAATGCGAGAATCCAGACAGTTTCTGCAAAGTAAACCTCCATTCGCCAGACTTCCTGTTTTCTTGCGAGTTTAAAATCTTGGGGCATTTCGTAACTAGTGATTTACAACCTCTTCTACCCTACCAGCACCGGGGAGTTGTAAAGCTAATTTGGAGGTCGTTATTTTGATGGGCGGACGACCACCCTAAATGGCTGTAAATCACTCGCCGTGAGGAATGCCTTGGTCTTTATTAATTATGAGAAAGTATCTCCTTTGTAACCTACAAAGGGTACAAGACTGGAATGGAGTATCCTGAAAGCGGACGTGCCCGACACGAATCCTAAATTCTACTTTCCAACCTATCTTTAACTGGAAAACGGGCGACGCTTAAATCGGCTCCTTTTCCCAAGCTCCTTTTCTGAGCCAACTGGTGGGAATTGCGCTCCGACGTCTCTTCTTGGGTTGTGGATTCACTGGCTTTGGCGGGGCGGCTCCCTTAACACTTTCCTCTAAATTTAGGTGGAAGTCAGACCTCCTAAAGAAATCGGTGGAGCTCAGCTCCCAATAAGGGATGCGTGGCTTCTTCTTTTAGTCTGGCCCCCTTTGCTGCTGGAGTGGACAGCCTGACATGAAAACATTTCATTTTTAACGTACGCCCATTAGTGACAATACAGTTATTCTGTCCTATTCTCTCGAATGGGCTGCAAATTTAACCTCCTTCCACCTGGCATTTTCTTCCTCTTCTAAGGAGTTTAGCCTCGCCTAATGGATGTTGGGCTTCGTTCCCCGTAATTGTGGCTAGTAGTGACTGGAGAGCTTTAGAAGACACGCGCGCACACACACACACACACAGAGTAACCGATCAGCCTGAGAAATGGGAACAGCCCCAGGACAATAGACAAGCGGAGGGTTTGAGCCCCCAGGGAGCCACCTGTGGGGGTGCAGGAGAGGCCCTTCGCCTCCGTGGCTAGAGCTTGCCCTTGACTCGGAGCCGCGGGAAGGAAACGCCGTTGTGGCTTATACCTGGGTGATGCTCCCCCGCTCGCCCAGAAGACGAGATTTCACTCACTCACACACACCGCTCCCCCATCCCCCCTCCCGGGCGCCAATCGCAGCCTTTCCGGGCCCGGCTTTGAATATCAAGCGGCGACGTCATCCGTGAAGGTGGGTCGGCGGAGCTCTTATAAAGGCCCAAGCGAAGCCCAATGAAAAACACCGAGGGAAGCAACGAGAGGTTGCGCGGGACTCCGCGGAGCCTCACTCGGTCATGGGTAGGGCATGCGGGGCGGTTCATGGACAGCTGGCTCAAGGAAGGAAGGAAGGAAGGAAGGAAGGAAGGAAGGAAGGAAGGAAGGAGAGAGGGAGGAAGGGAGGAGGGAAGAGAGGGAGGGAAGGAAGAAAGGGAAAGAGGGAGGAAAGAAGGGAAGGAAGAAAAGGAAAGACGGAGGGAGGAAAGAAGGGAGGAAAGGAGGGAGCGAGGGAAGGAAGAAAGGGAAAGAGGGAGGGAGGGAAGGAAGAAAGGGAAAGGAGGGAAGGAACAAAGGGAAAGAGGGAGGGAGGGAAGAAGGGAGGAACGGAGAGAGGGAGGGAAAAAGGGAGGGAAAGAGGGAGGAAAGGAAGGAGAGGAGGACGAGAAAAGGGGCAACAGCTTCGGAGCCTTCAGGCGAGCACCAGGCTGCTCCTTCTGTTGGGCCGAACCGGCTTCCGACGACGCGTCCCGGGAGGAGAGGCGCACGAAGCTCGCGGATAGGAAGCCTGGGTGGGAGCGGGGGCGGCGGGGAGGAGGAAGGAGGAGACCCGAAGGCTGCCCGGCTGTCCTTTCCGAACCAAGTCCAAACACGCCGGGAGAGCCGGGATTCCGGGCAGCGCCCTCGGACAGGCAGCCTCCCCTTCCAGGCAATGGGAAGGACGGGGAGAAGGGGGCCGCCGCCGCCGCCGCCTTTCTTCCCCCACCTCCGGCTGATTCCTTCCCTCTTCTTCCCCGGCAGCCCAAGCCGGCCAGGTGGCGCAGCCGTCGCGGGGCTCCGGGGATCCGCTGGCTTGGCTGGAAGCCGCGCTGGTGGCCGCCGCCGCCGCGGGACTCCTGCTGGTAGCGGCCCGCCACCTCTGGGCGCTGCGTTGGAGGCTGAGCCGGGACCGGACCAGCGCCCTCCCGTTGCCCAGGGGCTCCATGGGGTGGCCCTTCTTGGGAGAGACGCTGCACTGGCTGATCCAGGTGAGCACCCGCCAGCGCCAGCGCTGCCTTGGGAGGGGTGGGGGTGGAAATCCACGAGGCTGGGCTGCCCCAACCTCGCTCCCGTCGGTCCCTTGGCTTTGGGTCAGGCAGAGGGGATTGGCTTAAAAAAAGCTCTTCCCCACCATTGCTGGCCTTGAAGCCGGGAGTTTCCTAGCCGTGAAAGGCCGGGAAAACGCGGCCTTCCGTTGCTTGCCGGTGGAAGACAAGGCACTCTGCACATGCTTTGAGGCAGCTCTCCACACTTGGGCAACTTGAAGACTTGCGGACTTCAACTCCCAGAATTCCCCAGCCAGCGTAGCTTCTGGTAATAGGGTCTGTTGCTTGAGCACCAACCTTGGCAAACTTTAAGCCTGGAGGACTTCAACTCCCAGAATTCCCCAGCCAGCTTTT